TGTGCCCCCCTGGCCTGGCCTGGCCTGCCCGCCCTGCTGCTGGTGCGGCTGCCCTACACCGCTGGGTACGTGCCCCATGTGCCCCCCTGGCCTGCCCGCCCTGCTGCTGGTGCGGCTGCCCCATGCCGCTGGGTATGTGTCCCGTTCTCCCCACCCCCCGGCCTGGCTTGCCCGCCCTGCTACTGGGTACGTGCCCCGTGTCCGTCTCCTCCCCCTCCCCCCCCGGCCTCCCAATATGACCTGGCCTGCCCGCCCTGCTGCTGGTCCTGCTGCCCCATGTCCATGCCACGGCCTGGCCTGCACTGCCCAGGTCTGTGTCCATGGCTCTGGGTTCACCCCTTGGAGAGTGGGGGGCTTGAGACGCTGTGACTGGCTGGCCTGCGGGAATGTGGGGCTGGAGGTCCCAGCATGGGGCCCACATGGGGGGGGTGCCCTCTGGCACCTTCCCCTGATGTGCTTCTCTTCATCTCCAGCTCCAGCCTCATGGCCCCCAAGGAGGTGCTGATGAGCAACGGTGAGTCTGGCTCCCCAGGGCCCCTTCCCTACCCCAATCCTGGGTCCTCTGCCCCCCATGGCTGGGTCTTCCAGCCACCCTTCGTATCCAGGGCCCCTCCCCCCATTGCTGGGTACTCCCCATTTCCCCCCTGAAGTGCCCAGATTGGTGTGGGGAGTATCCCCTCCACAGCCCCTGGGGTAGGGTGGGTCAGTGTTTGGGGGCTGGCTGAGGGGTTAGCTGGGGAGGCAGTGGGGCCAGGGGGCAGTGCTGTTAACCCCTGATGTGTCTGCCCCAGATGAGATCATTGGGCAGGTGCTCAGCGCCTTGAAGGAGGAGGACGTGCCCTACACGGCGCTGCTGACAGCCGGAGCCCCCTCACGGGTACATCTCTTCTCTCCCCCCCCCTCCCTCCTGCCAGGGGCCCCCTCAGGGGCATGTCCCCCCACTGACCCTCCTCCCCTGGCCGGGGGGGCCCCTTGGGTACATCCCCATATCTGGCGCCCTGGCCATGCACCTCTCCTGGGTATGTCCCATTCACACTGACAACCCCCGCTCCCAGAGACCTGCCCTAACCCCTGAGCTGGGCCCCCCGGGTACTCCGCTGCCCCCCAGCTCTCACCCAGCCTTCTCCCCAGGTTCTCCGGGACGTCTCTGGGGTGGCCCCCGGGGGAGTGGGCCGCCAGCTGCTGCAGAAGCCGACCCCAGCACCAGCACAGCACCCCCCAGTGCGGTACCCCCTGACCGGTGAGCCCCGGATCCTCTTCTGGGCCCAGAACTTCTCCGTGGTCCAGGGCAGCAAGTGGGTCGACCTGACGTCCCAGACGTTCGGGGCTGTGGCCTCCGTTGATGTGAGCGGCTCATCCTGGAGCTCCAATGACTCCCGGTGAGAGTGGGGCTGCGGATCGGGAGTGAGGGGCACTGCAGTGGTGGGGGGCTTAGGCTTGGGCTACCAGGGGGTGCGGGTCAGGAGTCAGGGGCACAGGCAGAGCTGGGGGGACTGGGCTACCAGGGGGTGTGGGTCAGGAGTGAGGGGCACAGGCAGAGCTGGGGGGACTGAGGGTTGGGCTACCAGGGGGTGCGGGTCAGGAGTGAGGGGCACTGGCAGAGCTGGGGGGAGCCCAGGGCTGGGCTGATAGGGGGCTGCTGGTTGGGAGTGTGGGGCACCACTGGGGTCACTGTCTCTGTCCCCCTATCCAGGCTGGTGCTGAAGTATGCAAATGTTCTGGGGTCCCCTCTGACTGTCACGTGAGTATATGGGGGGCTGGCTAGGCCTGGGAGAGACGTGTGCTGTCTCCTGGGGGGTGTCACTACATTGACTTGGAGGCTCTGGGGGTGCTGGGGTGTGGGGGGAGGCTGCTGGTGTCTGGGGGGATCTGGCTGGATCACAGGGGATGGATCACTTGATGTTACCGGTTCTGTTCATTCTCTGGGGCCCCTGGCACTGGCCACGGTCGGCGCTTTGGGCTGTCTCAGTGCTGACCCTTGGGGGTTTCTGGGGGTCTGTCTGGCCCTCGGGTGGCTTTGGGGGGCCTGGCTGAAGGCTCAGGGGGTTCTGGCTGGGGTATGTCTGGATGAGCCGTCCCTCCCCCCGCCCCTCCAGGTTCCACATGACCAGCCGGCGGTTTCCTGTCTCGGGCCGGGACTGGTTCCAGCTGAGCCGCCTGGAGCTGGCGACGCCCTCGGCCAGGCCCAGTGTCTTCAACGCCTCGCAGGTGACGGCCCCCAGCGACTATTCCTGGCACTGCGCCTACCTCAGCAGCCTGCCGGGCTTCGGGGCCGGCCTCCAGCCCCACGGCCCCAGCCCCAGCTGGGGGGTGCTGCTCCAGGATGTGCAGGTACCGGCTGGGACGCCTGGGTTCTCTCC